GTATGACACTTCAAAGCTGGTTTACGAGACACAGAGCAGTACAGAAAAAGGGAACCCTGTATATAGTGTTATATATATATATATATATATCAAATAAATTAAAATAAGAAAAGATCTGACACGCCGAAGCATTTCCTGCACCCCGGCCTAAAAATACACAGTGTTTGATGTCCTCAGTCGTAGTCATAATGCCACAGAGCTAATTTTAGCTTCTCCAACTCAATTACAAAGCTAATTTAAAATAAACATTTAAGTCATGCACATTACTCTTTGACCTTTTTAGGCAGAAATAATTACAAATACCTCATCTTAGATGTTTATGGCAGCCTATATCTACTTTTATATCAGTGAGAATAGATTAAATATTAGCTGTCAGTATATTGTAATAGAATTAAACAACACCGTAAACTGCGTCGTTACAACATAACTTAAGTATTAAAACCTTCATGAAGGTAGCATTTATTGCAGTACTGCTGTGTTAAAATCAGTTTAACGAGGTGGAACTAATAAAAAGGCATGTGTGTGTGTGTTTTTATATTTTCTATTTGGGTGAACTTTAAACCAGCAGGTGAAGCAATAGGTCAGGGATGCACCAAATTAATTTGTAAAAACGCAAAAAAAAGTGATAGAATATTAATATAGTTTTGGTTAAGAATGACCTCTCAATTTTAAAAGTAAACACACTGTGATCGAGTAACAGCTAGAGATGGGACAATATAGATTATTATGATTTTCTTGCCAGTTTAAAACTATGTTTTAGTATGTTCAAGTATATTTTCATGACTATCGTGATAATATTATGTATTGCAGTTATTTTGGCCAAGATAACTGTGACATTAAATTTTCACATTATGACCAATGCCTAGTAACAGCTTAAGTAAGGCATGGATGGCATTACATTTAAATAATAATTAATAATAATAACCTTTATTGCACCTTTCATACATAAAATGCATTTAATCAAAGTTTGGCAAAAAAGGAATGGCAAAGAAAACATTAAAATATAATAAAAAAAAAAGGTAGAATAATGAATCAAATTAAAATAAACTTGCTGTAAGATTCAATAAAATGATGCAGACCAAGTCTTAAATATGATAATTTACAGTTTGGCTTATATTTTATCTTCAGGTAATAGAACAATGAGAAGAAAACACTGAATCTGTCAAAAAAGAAGCGTGTTAAGTATGTGTGACAGTTAAAAAATTAAATAAATACATAATACAGAC